TGGACACTCAGCATCTCCGAGTCCCCTTGGCTGGCAGGCCCGTCTGACAAACACGGACGTCAGCGGCTCCTTCCTTTGAAGCCGCCCAGCACCATCTGCAGGACCATGTGGGCCCAAGGCTCCCTTGGCAGAGCCCCCCTAGCAGCCACTTCGAAGACACGCCAAGCAGCGGGCGGCTGGCTTTTGAGAATCCGAACCAGGAGAACAGGCACTGTCTGCCCACTCGTGGCAGCGGCCCAAGAGGGTGGCGGCGGTGTCGTGGACAAGAGCTTCTACAGCGAGTGCTTTGCAGCAGAACCCAAGGGAGATGCCCCTCAGGAGCTAGATGAATGAATATTTTAGCCTCAAATTTCATAATTCCATTTTTTTCCTTTTTTGCCTAAGTGAATATTTTATGGGCAGGGCAGAAGGAGGGAGAAGTGGACATGCCAGTCATTGCTCTCCCCCCCTTCCTGTCCGGCTGATCGCTGCTCTAATTAAAGGTCTTCCTGCTGGGTGGCATTCTGACATCCAGTATCATGTCCAGCTGGTTTCCGGAAATCAGAAGCCACAGCTGCAGAATCCACCTGACTCTCTGTGGACACTGAGGCACCTGGTACTTGTCAGGTCACACTGGGCCGTAATCGGCTGGAGGGCAAGGCCAGGGTTTCCGCATTCTGAGCTCCTAGTGTGACGTCCAGCACACTGCAGCTGCTCAGTGTTTGAACCACTGAATAAGGACAGCCCGCTACAAAGGCCGGTCACATGGAGTGCAGCATTTCTCAAGCTGCAGGTCGTGATCCATTGGAAGATGGCAAAATCAACTGGATGGGTTGTGATTAACATTATTTTTTTAACTAAAATAGAACAGAACAGAAAATATTAGAGGGCATCCTTCTGAATACACTTAGTAAGGTAAGCATTATTTCAGGAAGCTTTTGTTTCAGATGGAAACGTCTATGTGTGTGATGATGATGATGTAAACTGTATTTTGACTCTGGGTCATGGTCAAAAGTTTAAAAGCCACTTCTGCAAAGTCATGTCCTGGATGTGACTCAGCCCCTTGAGAGTGGGTCACAGTTGGTGTCCATGTTAGCAAACAATTGCTATGGTTTCTAAGCTGAGCTAGAGTCAGACTATCTCGACAAGAACGTATATCCCGCTCATTTGATTTCAGATGTATTTTCCTAGGTAAGGAGCCCTGGTGGCACAGTGGTTAAGACCTCGGCTGCTAACCGAAAGGTTGGCAATTTGAATCCACCAGCCGCTCCTTGGAAACCCTATGGGGCAGTTCTACTCTATCCTGTAAGGTTACTATGAGTTGGAATTGACTCAGTGACAATAAGTTTGGTTTTTGGTTTTTCTTGAGTGGAGGAGAAAGGCTGGGAGGCCCAGGCAGCCCCCAGGTATGTGCTCACCCTGATAGATCAGGCACCTCCCTTACCTGTGCCAAGCCCCAGGGGGGATTCAGGAGTCATGCTGTGGGTGGCACCCAGCCAGGACTGCAGGCTTGGAGGTCAGCTCCTGGCTGAGAGGCCTGGGCAAGGAGACAGGCCCCAGGTTTCAGATGCCCGGGTCAGTGGCAAACACAGGCGTGGACGCGGGTGGGAGGACTTTGGTCTCCAAATGCTGGCATTGAGGGCAGGTCCAGCCTGTCCTTAGGCTGAGGTCCTGAGGTCCTGAGGTCCGGGTCTGATCATCCACTCCTCTGCTCACGGCCACCTATGTCTGAGCTTCTGTCTACTCGCCTTTAAGGGGGTTGGGGGAACAGACCCCCTGGTCGCAGGGACAGAGTTAGGATTTGGTGAATAATGTGTGCACAGCCAGGGGGATTCAACCGTAGCAGCTGATGTGATGGGCTCTTGACCACTCCGTCCAACAGGCCTGGCTTGAACTCCCGGACCTGGAAGGCCCCGCCTGCTGTTTCATTCCGACTCTTAGATTGGGCTTCTCTGAAGGGGTCTGTCCCTGGGTGGTGCAGACAGTTAACGTGCTTCCCTGCTAACCTAAAGGTTGGTAGTTCAAGTGCTCCCAGAGGTGCCTTGGAAGAAAGGCCTAGTGATCTACTTCTGAAAAATCAGCCATTGAAAACTCCATGGTGCATGGTTTTACTCTGACGCACATGGGGTTGTCATGAGTTGGAGTTGACTTGATGGCAAGTGGTTTTGGTCTGCAGGGTCTGGGTGAGTTACCTGGATTACAGCATTGTAGGGGGCCTAAGCGTCTTTCATTCATTCACGCTTTCCATTGAGCACCTCTGTGCCAGGTGCTGGCTGGGGAAATGAGTCAGAGGGCATGTGGCCAGGACCCTTTCCTCAGAGACCATAGAGGCAGAGGAACGAAGGGGAGAGGTGGTGAGAGGTGAGGAGCCAGGCCTCCTCTGAGCTCTGAGTGGGAGGCAAAGCCCTGGAGGCTCAGGCTGGGACTACCAGGGCTCCTTGCTCTCCTTCTGGAAGGCTACACAGTCACCCCGAGCCTTCAGGAGGGGTACAGCTGGACACCCATGTAACTGGGTCCCACCTGCTCACAGCCTTGGCTGGGCATGGCGCCGGCTGCTCCAGACCCCCGTCTGCCCTCCTCTGCCTTACCCCTCCATTCCCCTCACACCCCCTGTGCCCCCCGTCTGGCTGGGGCTTCCCAATTCCCAGGCTTCATGCCCTGCCTTTGCCTGGAAACTGGTACTCCCCTTTCTACTTCATAACAGTAGTAACAGGAAAGAGAATAACCAACAATGGCAGTAATAATACAGCCGTGCGCTGTGTCCTTTACACACGTTTCTTCATTCAATGCTAAGGAGACCTTGAGTGGCTTCTCAGTAGGTGAGGAAATTGAGGCTCAGAGGTGGAGACTCACCCAGTCACATGGCGGGTAAACTCGGGGCTAGGACCCTGCCTTTCCTCCAGGTTCACCCTGGAATCCCTCCCAGAGAAGCCTGGTCCCCTGAGCTCTCTCCCCACCCCCCAGATCTGTCTTGCTTCCCACAGGGGCGGGAGGCCCCCTGAGGACAAACCTCTCCCCTCTTCCTGCAAGATCCCTGAGGACAGGGCCCTGGCCACATGCCCTCTGGCTCAGCTTCCCCAGCTAGCGTCTGGCACAGAGGAGCTCAGTGAAATGTCTGAATGAATGAAGAGGCTTGGACGGGCCCCTCAGGAAGGCTCAGAGAGAGGATGTGCAGGGCCTTCTGGGTCAGGGAGCTCGGGCCTGGCTTGTCGGGCAGAGCGGTCAAGAGCCACTGCAGCAGCTGCCTGCGGCTTGTCCTCGAGTCTGAAAGGAAGAATAGGGTGTGGCCTGGGTCAGGAGACTGAGGGAGAGGGGAGGAGAGGGGACCAGTGTGCCCCACCAGGGCTGGGCCCTCTGGGCAGCAGCGGCCAGGCCTTCATCTCCATGATATTGATCATCAGCTCGAATTTACCGAGTACCTACTATGTGCACTGTATTTAATCTCGGAGGATTGTCACAGCCCACGAGGAGGTGCCTGTGATCTTCACTTTACAGAGGAGGAAACTGAGGCTCAGAGAGGTGGAGTGACTAGAATCCAGATCCTTAACCACTGTGATACCCCACTTGTCGTGGGCCCCTGTCCAGCACCAGGAGTGCACAGAGGCCTGACAGATGCTAGGAGGTCGGGAGTCCTCAGGACAGGGGCCCAGTGGCCCTGCCGGCCCCTGCAGCTCCCCTCCTCTAGCCGGGAGCAGACCCCTGGCTGCCCAGTGCTTTCTCCCTGGAGTGCATGAGTCTCTGCCAGGATTAGGCTTTTCAAACGGCACGTGCTCAGGGTCCCAATCTGCAGCCATCAATACTGTTCTCCATCACCTCTCAGATCTCACCAAGCCTTATCGAATTTCCTTCCGCACCCACCGAGCTAGTCCCTTCTGAGGACTTTCAAATACAGGGCTGGGCCTCGTTTGAGGTAGTGGAGCAAGAAAAAAGGGGTATCATCTCCCTCCGGCTCCTTGACGTCAAAGCTGCCCATATGCTGTGACTGACATGTCCCCGCGGACTCAAAGCATCCGGTAAATGCTCACCCAGCAGACACCGCTGGTCAGATCAGCACCCAGGTTGGTTCCAAGCGACTGAAATCAGGCTGCTTGGTAATGAAACTGGCAGCTCGCTGCCGCCGCAGCCGAATCTCTAACACATAGAACACTGACACATGTGAAGGCAGGTCAGGCCGCAGGATGGGTTGCTGTCTCGGCAAATGAGCAAGGAAGAGCCTTGTTAAACAGAGAGTTTGGAGTGGGGCGGGGGCGAGGAGACGAGCCGGGAACAGGACTGTCAGTGAATCTTGTAAAAACTCAAGGCAGCTCTGGCCTGGACCATCATGGTACTTACTTCAAAGCAATTTAACCGATGGGATTCCCGACTCCCAAATCAAGAATGTTATTAAAATGAAGAACAGAGAGACAGCTCGGAAGCTTATTGGCACCCAAGTCACACCCCAGCCCGGCTGTGGATGCCTCGTCTTCCCCGGAGAGGTGGCACGAACTCTGGTTTCCCAAGCCCCCACCCCTCCTTTTGCCTAGGCATTTTTTATTTGAGGAGGGGGAGTGGTTTTATGACATGTTGAGAGATGGAACTCTGGAGGCCAAACCCGAGTGGTGTTTTTGGTTTTTAAAACCTCAAGAATGGGTTTTTGTTCACTTTTGTTTTGACCTGGAAGAAAGACACCAGGACTCTTGCCCGCCCCACCCACCACTTACTTCACCAGTGGGGAAATTGAGGCCCCGAGCAGGGGTGGGACAGCAGAGGGGGGACGGGACACCAGGTCTACCACCTCAGCCACAGTGATTCCTTCTTAAGAGGACATTTCAGGGACCTGGGGGTATCCAGTCAGTCCCATGTTGGGCACCACCTGGCTCCTGAACCCCTGCTCTGTCCCAGGCCCTGTGAGACACCCAGCCCCTGACCTTGCCAAGCAGGTGGGTGGGGAGCAGAGTGGGGGGACAGTGTGGGGCAGGGTGGGGGCTGGGGTTCCTAGGATGGTTAGCGTAACCCTCCCCCTCCATCTTCTCTGCTTGCAGGTGTTTCAGCGCCGGGAGGATGGCTCCGTGAACTTCTTCCGAGGCTGGGAGGCGTACCGGGAAGGCTTCGGCAAGCTCACGGGGGAGCACTGGTTGGGTGAGAGCCCCTGACCATCCCTTGTCCCTGTCCAGCCCGGCAGGTCGGGGGAGCAGGACCATTCCTGTCTGACTGAGACCCGCTCCCTCAGTGTTGTAGGTGTGGGTTTCCCTGGCCTCGCCGTACCTGAGTCAGCTCAGGTGTGTCATGTGTAGAGGTGACAAATACGTTTGATATGAATGAGGTCAGTGAGTAGGAAGCCAAAAGCAATGTGGCTGGTGTGGAATGTGCTCAGGGGTGACGTGTGACTATAAACATGAATGGGCGAAGGGAAGCTGAGAGTGTGAGGGTCCCATACCTTCTAACCTGGGTGAGACCTGTTGGAGTGACGCGAAGTAGAAAGCAATGGGACCTTTGCCTGTTGAGGACACCCTGGGATGCGGTCACTATCCTGGATGGAATGGGCTGTGGACAGGTGCAGGGCATCCTTCTAACACACGGAGGCCCCTGACAACCCAGCACTGCCCTGTCCCCAGGGCTCCCGCTGGGGAGCAAGACCTGAACTTGAGAGAGTGTGCAGTGCCTGGTGGCTGCTCAAAGGACACCAAGGGTGTAGCGCCCAACAGAGGGGCCAGACGGTATTCTCACATGGTTCCCAGTTCAGCCGTCTGCACGTCCTCACATAGTCTGTGCCTGGCACCAAGCAAGGGCTCCAGAAGTGACATGAGTATTATTGTAATTATTTCTATTGTTTACTTAATATTTATCTTTAAATTCAGTATTGAAACATTTAAATGCCTTATTTAATTTCATTCTAAATAATAATATCCTAAAAAATCTAGGTCTGAGGTCCTAATTGTATATAGGTATATGGGTGTGGGGGAGTTGTGGCTTGAACTGACGTGGGTTTTTTGGAGATTGAATCACATACTGTACAATTTGTCATTTTAAAGTACACAATTCAGAGGTTTTTAGTATATTTATGAGGCTGTACAACCATCACCATGGATTCCAGAACATTTTCTTCACCCCCAAAGAAACCCCATAGCCGTGAGCAGCTACTCCCCATTTATATTCTTTTTCTCTTATTATACTTTAGATGAAGGTTTATGGAGCAAATTGGTTTTTCATTAAACAATTAACACTCATTGTTTTGTGACATTGGTTGCCAACCCCACAATATGGCAACATTCTCCCCTTCTCGACCTTGGGTTCCCCATTACCAGCTTTCCTGTCCCCTCCTGCCTTCTCCTCCTTGCCCCTGGGCTAGTGTGCCCCTTTAGTCTCGTTTTGTTTTATGGACCTGTCTGATCTTTGGCTGAAGGGTGAAACTCAGGAGTGACTTCATTACTGAGCTAAAAGGATGTCCGGGGGCCACACTCTCAGGGTTTGTCCAGTATCTGTCAGACCAGTAAGTCTGGTCTTTTTTTGTGAGTTAGAATTTTGTTCTACATTTTTTTCCAGCTCTATCGGGGATGCTCTATTGTAATCCCTGTCAGAGCAGTCGGTGGTGGTAGCCGGGCACCACCTAGTTGTGCTGGACTCAGTCTGATGGAGGCCGTGGTAGTTGTGGTCCATTAGTCCTTTGGATTAATCTTTCCCTGTGTCTTTGGTCTTCTTCATTCTCCCTTGCTCCAGACGGGGTGGTCCTCATTTATGTTTTTAACAGGCATTAAAATAAACACACAGGCCTTGGAATGAAATGTTTGCCTGAGTATCATGTGAATCACCTCCATGCCCCAGGAGCACCTCCCACCCTACCCTCTTGCTTCTCCGCATGGATCTGGGAAGTTCCCCGAGGAGGGGACCGGCAGGGGCCAGTGTGGCTGCTAGGAAGCACCAACTGGAGGGGCTGAGTGAGAGGTCTGGGCACCGGGGGGTGCTCAGGAGCATCCCGATCTGTGGGATTTAACAGAAACCCCTGGGAGAGAGGAGTGGGTGGTCCTCACCCCTCCCCTGCATGCCCAGAGGCTCCTGGTAGTGATTTGTGCTGTCATTTGCTTAATGCTCATCTCCCCTGGCTTGGGGTCCTTGAGGGCAGGATCCTCTCTGCCCTGACCTCCACTGTGTCCCTGGTGTCCACATGGGTACCAGCTTTAGGAGATGCCAGACACACAAATGTGGACCTAGTGACCACCGCCCGAACTCACTCTGCACCTACTGTGTGCCCAGCCCCGCACTCCCTGAAACCTCACACCCACCCTGGGAGGGACGCTCTGCTATTGTTCTCCCCTTTTACAGATGAGGAAACTGAGGCTCAGAAAGGTGCTAATGAGTGTGTATGTGTGTACATGTGTGTATGTGCCTTTATGTGTGTGTTCATATGTGTGTGGGAATATGAGTGTGTATGTGTGTATATGTGTACATGTGTGAGTGTGTATGTATAAGTATGTGGGGGGGTGTACGTGTGTGTCTGTGGGTATGTACACATGTGTGCATGTGTGGGTAGGTATAGGTGTGTGTGCCTGTGTTTGTGTATGTATGTGTATTTATGTATGTGTGCATGCATGTGTGTATGTGTGTGTATGTACTTGTGTTGGGGTGGAGGGAGCCAGGTAGGGTTCACACACCAGAGCCCAACCAAGCTTTTACCCTGTACTGAATGAATGAAAAGCCAGGGTAAGATGAGGACCAAGGGAGAGAAGCTTTTCCAGGTGGGATATTCTTTCCCCTACCCCACCCAGGTAGGTGTGTAAAGACAGGGAGAAGATGGACAGGTGAGGGCCCTGTCCCCGCATCACCAACCACCCCCTAGGAAGAGCGTTGGTGTCTCTGCTGCTCCTTGGCATCTTAACTGAAAGCTATCAGCAGCTATGCAAGGTTCGGGAGGAAGCATTTAAGCGGGGCCTTGATTAGCTCCTGGCAGATGCTGCCGGAAGGGGAGCCCTGACAAGAGTGTCAACTCGAGGCCCAGCCTTTAAGCTTCCCTGTACTGTGACCTCCCTTCTGCTTTCCACATTCCCCTGCCACCTTCCCACTGAGCGTTTTGTCTTTTCCTATTGAGTTATCAGAGCTCTTTATATATATATATATATATAT